AGATAGATGGGTTCATATTTTATATATGACTCTATAGTACCGAAAGAGTATTTAGGTAAGGCAGTTGCTCTCAAATTTTAGGGTGCATCCAACTCACCTGGGGGGTTTGTTAAAACACAGATTACAGGGACCCATTTCCAGAGTCTTTGATTCAGGAAGAACAGAGTGGGGTCTGAAACTTATTTCTAATAAGTTCTCAGATAGTGTTGATGATGTTGGGTAGGGAACCTCATTTTTGAGAAGCACTAGTGTAAGACACTGATCTTTACATGTACTGTACAGGAAGTTTGTGGTCTAGCTGGGGTGATAGGATATTTAGATAAATATCATGTCACTGTGGCCTTAGAAGTGAACAGGAAGTGTAAATGGAAAAGTAGAAAGGAAAGGCAGGTATAACTTTCTGTCATGAGATTAGGGAGCTCTTGTGCAAGATGTGGCAAGTAATTGGGTATTGTTAGATGAGTATAATTTAGAAATGCAAAATGTAGCATGAGAGGGGGGAATATAACCCAAGGATATAATGGAGATAATACCATTATCATGCCTAAAGACATTGACATTAATATATTATATTTAAAATCTGTAAAAGAAATCCCCATTTTTGAAATTTATGAGACAATTGAAAAATTACACACAAAGTCGTCAAATTCATAGATACATAAAGTAGATTGGTTGTTGCCAGAATCAGGGGTGGGGAAGAATAGGATTTATTGTGTATGGGCACAGAGTTTTAATTTTGCAAGGTGAAAGAGTTCAGGACATGGTTGCATATAATGTCACCAAACTGTACTCTTAAAAATGGTTAAGATAATAAAATTGAGGTTGTGCATTTTACCACAATGGTAAACCTGAGTATTTTTCTCACTATATTGAATGTTTCCTGGGTGCTTGGGAAATACACTCATTTTTTCTCTGAAGCTCTGACATCCTTCACATTTTTTTATTTTAGCAGTTTTATTGAGGTGCAATTTATATACCATTAAGTTCATCATTACAAATATACAGTCCAAAGACTTTTCGTAAATGTATACAGTTGTCAACAATGACCACAACCAGTTTGGGAACATCCCCGTCACCCAGTGAGTCCCTTGTACTCTTTTGTAATCAATGCCTGCTTCTGCTCCCGGCCCAGGCAAAAACTGAACTGCTTTCTGCCTCTATGAGCCTGCCTTTTCTGGTTATTTCACATAAATTAAATCATATTATGTGTAGTCTTTTGCATCTGGCTTCTACCACTCAGCATGAAGTTTTGGAGTAGTTTTTCATGGATAAATGCTTCTAAGTTTGCCATAAGCCTTCAGTCAATTTTCAGGACACTTAAATGATTGGTTTTGATCAGTTTTATAGGTTTTTTGGGGGGGAGGGAGATGTGGTGACTCCCAGCCCTTTCCTCATTTTATTTTTTTAATTCTAGGAAGAAGATAAAAGATTCCATATGGAACCTGGCACTGAAGATTGACTTTTTGCAAACTGTGCTTTGATTTTAGCAATAGTTAGCAGACTTGTTTTCTTAAATCATCTATTCCATAGCTTGACACAGGCCATTCAGAAATAGAGGACTAAACGTTTCTGTTCAAGAATCTTTTGAATACAATGAGTATGTTCTGTATCAGAGGTCCTTAACCTGGAATCTGAAGGAAGAATTATCTTCTCTTCTGAATTAATTGTAGCTTCTATCATTTCTAACTTGCCCTGTGAATGGATATGGAAAGTATATGCACAAGATTTTGAGGGGTCAGCATAAATGTGGATATCATAAAGAGATACTTAGAAAGGTGGGGAATTTCTGGTCTAAAACATGGCATCACTCACTAACATTTCTATCCTTAGTTCTACCTCTAAAATGAAAAGCATTTACCCAGCAAGAGTGTGTACCATAGAGGACAGTGACCTTTTCTCCTTGTATCACATGATCCTTCCCCCATTAGAGGAAAAATTAAATTATCAGGGAAGGCGCAATGGAGCTTTCCATCATTCTGAGCAAAGGCCCCTCATACTCACCATTCAGAAATACAGACTGGGAAGATGTGCATCTTTCTACTCCCTGCCCTTCAGAACCCCAGCTCAGAGTCACAGACTGCATATCTAGAGAAGAAAAGTGCTCAGTACATTGTACATAATAGATACTCAATACATCTTGGATGAGTTTAAGTGAAAGGCAGATAAGTGAGGGGATGGTGGCCGGGATGGTGGTGCTGCGTGTACTCACAATCATGGGGGCTTCTGTTTTTCCCTTTCTAAAAATGAGAAAACTGGAGACCCTATTCTGTGAGCTGATCAGAAAGAAGAGCTTGTCACCCTTAGAAGAGCTTGTCACCCTTAGTTATGCTTGGGGGATTAGAGAGAAATTATTCACCAGTCTCCAGAGATGAAAATTTGAAAAAATGGCATAAAATGTCTCCCTCACACTTTGGTTGGGGAAGAGCACAGAACAAAAGACACCCTCGGTCTGCCCGAAGTATTGCACCCTGGTAGGGCAGTTGCCCTCAGTCGGAAAAGAGTTAAGAACCATTTTTTTTTTTTTTTTTTGAGAGTGTCACTATGTTACCCTGGGTAGAGTGCCATGGTGTCACAGCTCACAGCAACCTCAAACTCTTGGGTTTAAGAGAATCTCTTGCCTCAGCCTCCCAAGTAGCTGGGACTACAGGTGCCCACCACAATGCTGGGCTATCTTTTTGTTGTGGTTGTCATTGTTGTTTAGCAGGCCTGGGACGGTCCGACCCGCCAGCCTTAGTGCATGTAGCCATCTCCATAACCACTGTACTACAGGTGCTGAGCTGAGAGTAAGAATCTTCACTCAACAGTCTGATAACAACCAGTGTAAAAACTCATTTAGCAATTTATCAACATGGTTTCAAGTAAGAACTCCCCTCCCCCATGAATCTTATTAGATTTACCTAATTTAGGGCAGTGAAAGCCCTGGAAATAAACTCTATCACTCATTCAGCTGAAGTTCTGAGATGCTCCACTCATGAAATTTTGTTCTAAGGTAAATACTATTAGATATCTAAAATCAGAAGTTCTTGGGCAAATATTTGTGAAATGAAAGGAGACTTATTGTAGCAAATTATATATCTAATCTTACTAATGACTCTCCCTAGGCTGGTTTTTGTGTGTACTTATGGTGTGTTAAATACTATAATAATAATTTGTCCTTATTTCATAGGTCTTAAATTAGCTCTTGGGGATAGAGGGGCCAATGTCTGGTGACCCTGAGCACATTTATTTTACTGTTGCCGTTTTGGATTGTTAACGAAAATGAAAGGAAGCAGTAGTAGAGGGAAGACCTTTAGGTCTAAAATAACAGGCCTTATTTTCACAAACATGTCATAGTCAGAGACAAAAATAATAATTTTGGCTTCATAGTACTAGCCATCTTTATTTTCCATTCCACAGAGAACATATTCTCTGGATTCTTTTCCTATTTTCTCTTTCTCCCTCAGTTTTACCCAGAAGGATTCAAATAGTGACGCCATTACACCCATTTGGAGCTCCTGGACCACGTGGTTTCCCTGCAGCTTGACCAGGCTTTGGCATCTCTGAGTTGATTAGCTTGTGCCTCTTTCCTGTCCTCAAGGAATATAGCAGGTGATGTCGAATAGTGTTTGAGTTCCTTCTAGTTATAAAAGATGGTAACATATTGTTCCTGTAGGCCTCAAAACCATTGTTGGAGAAACTAGAGTGGCAGAAAAGGAAGAATTTGTTGTAAACCTAATCTGATGACTGGATGTAGTTCTGCCCACTCATAATTGGAGTCAACTTTACCCAAAAAAATCACAAAAAAGAGGACATGTACTTTGAAAAAAGAAATACTATTAAAGGTCAGTATTTATTTTTGTCGCAGAAACGTTTACTTGAAGCCTGTGAATGGCTTGTCCTGGGGCGAGTCCTTCGGGAGCTATTAATATACTTCCAGAGGCACAGCAAAGAGTCTGTCTGGGGCCTAGAAAAGAACTACGAATCCCAGAATGCCCCATTTCCTATTTTCCGCGAGAATTTCGGGGTGTGAGCTCGACCAATCCCTTCATGGAGAACTTGTGCTGTCAGCCAATCAGAAGGCGAGAAGCTGCGCGGAGGCGGGTGGCGGGAGGCGCCCTCGTTTTGAAATCGGAAAGTTGGCGGGGCCGTGGGAGGTGCGTCTGGAAGTTTGCTCTTGGCCGGAGGCGGTGTGGATCTGGTGCGGAGAAGGCGGCGGGGCTCAGGCCTTACTGCGAAGGTGAGGGAGGTAGGCCCGAGCTGGGCTCCTCGCCCCGCCAGGCGCCACAGGGGAAAGCGAATCCCCAGCGTGTATATTGCGGGCGGCGATTGTGAAATTCGCGTCTTGTGGCTGTTTGCGTCTCGCGGCCTGGCCATGGGCAGCGGCGGAGCAGAAGCACTCGTGATTTCTCTCAGGAGATGCTTTAGGTCCTCCTGGGAAGGTTTTAGCTTGGCCGAGGAGGTGGGGCCTGGACTTTTACATGACATAATTTACAGAGGAGGGCACTGAGGCCCGGAGAGTCCAGCTGACTTGTACATGTCCTGGGCTGCACCCACAAAGTTCCCTGTCTGTTTTTCCATTTTACTGTTGCTTTTCTTGTTCTGGGGATGGAGAGAGAGGCAGGGTAGATGTGTGGGGTCTTATCCTATGAGAAGGGGCTTGCTCCCTGGCGATCCAGCTTGGAATCAGAAAGGGTCAGAGCGGGAAGGGGCCTTACAAATCATCAATTTTACCTGTGAGAAAACGGAGTCAGAGTCATTTTCCCCGGCATGTGAGTGTTCTGTGCATTACATTTACCTACTAACACGTACCTGGGAGATAAATGTGTCCTGGATTCTTGCTGCACCTTAACCACAATTAAGCCCAGATGGCTTGATCTTGAGTACCTAGAATTAACAAGTTACTAACCATTTTCGAATAAAGGCCAAATCGCCATAATACTGTATACCCAATTGGAATATGTGGCTGATTTAATTTCAATAACTCTTGAAGAATATAATGTGTGTTCCATTTGTAGTATTGTCTAACATAATGGTGGAGGACCAGCTGGCACTATTGGATAAAAACATAAATGAATTTTGGAATAAATTCAAAAGTACTGATACCGCCGGTCAGATGGCAGGACTCAGAGATACCTACAAGGACTCCATCAAAACATTTGCAGGTACTTAAAATTAACTCGTAACGTGTTTTTGCTGTTCTTGGTTATTTTTTAGTGTCATTTCAGCTGAATTAAAACATCAATTCCAATTTCTCTTTCAGAAAAACTGTCTGTGAAATTGAAGGAAGAAGAACGGATGGTGGAAATGTTTCTGGAATATCAAAATCGTATGTGAAAAACTGTTCACATATTTTCTTTAGATTAAATGTTTTTATCATGAAATTCCTCATACAAGTAAGGCAAAGTGTTTTTGTGTGTATATGTATGTGTTCACATCTCTACACATACAGACATATAGAGAAAATAGTAAATGTTTACATACTTACCACCCCATGATCCACCTTTCTCTTCTTTCACCTTCCAGAACTAACCTTTGAATATGTTGTTTAGTATTATTTCTGTTTCATAAGTGGCATTCTTTTGTATGTATTCTGTCCCTTTTTTTCACTCAGCATCATACTCATGAGATTTGCCTGCACTGACGTGTAAATGCAAGCATGGAGCTGAAGTTCTCTGGGCTCTTTATGGTAAAGTCAGTACTCTGACAGCCTTTCTCTCCACATTTGTACTTACTACTGTTCTTGCTCTTTCATTCCTACCCACTCTCTAAATTGGAGTGAATCAATAGCTTTTATCGAATTCACACACATAGGCCAAAAATTTGTGACCACGGGTCAAATTCCACTAGAGATACTCCATTTAGTGACTCCATGTTTTAATTAATTATATTGGAATATCCTTACATGGGGCATGTGTTCTTTCATATGCCACTGTCCCCTTTTCCCTTTCCTGACCCACTCTCCTCATTGTGTAGCCTGTGAAGGGGGCATTTGACTTTGTAGCCCCAACAAAGTCAAAGGCGCCCTTTAGATTATTATGCCAGACATTTACCCATGTTTACTTTCTAAGCTTCCCTGAAGCTTCCATGCCCTTTCGCTGCTCCTTTCATCCCCTTTATAGCCATGAAAAAGAAAAATCTTTTGTTTGCACGAGGATGTATGTGTGTACATGTATATAGGAGTGATATTATGTTTGGGTCCTTTTTATTTATTTTTTATTTTTTTTAGAGACAGAGTCTCACTTTGTTGCCCTCAGTAGAGTGCCATGGCGTCACAGCTCACAGCAACCTCCAGCTCTCGGGCTTAGGCAATTCTCTTGCTTCAGCCTGCTGAGTAACTGGGACTATACACTAAAGACTCCCAAGTATCTTTAGCAGAGACCACTTTCTTGGCTGATCTTTCCAGGCACCTGCCACAATGCCCAGCTATTTTTTTGTTGCAATTTTATTGTGCAGTGTGCCTTGCAGGTGTATCAGTGTGCCTTGTATCAATCTGAAGAGCAGCCAAGAAAGTGGTCTCTGCTAAAGATAGAGATTTGGGAGTCTTTAGTGTATTTTGTAGCTGTGAAAGAATGTGTAGAGTGAAAGAAGAGAGCCTGGAATAGCCATAGTCTAATCATCAGATTGACTCAAGAATTCCCATTCACATTCAAAACATGACATTTCCCCTATATAATTTGAGAAGGAGGTAAATTGAAAGGACTGGAAAAAATAGGCTTAGGAACTGGAAGTAAGAGAGGTCAGAGAAACTAAAAGAGGAGAGATCAAAGAAAGGATATTTTTGGCACTGGGAACTCACAGGTTCGATGAGATAAAGACTGATAAAGATACTATTTGGGAAGGAGGAATGGTTGAGGGAGTCATTCACTCACCAGCTATTTGTTGAGCTACTACCCTGTGCCAGGTACTCTAGCAGGAATACATTACAAAGAACAAATAACCAAAAATTTTGGCTCACCTGGAGCACCTGTTCCAACAATCCAGTTATTGAAAGGAAGAAGATCATCTATTGAAGGTAACAGGCATGGACAGGCTCTTAAATAATCTTAAATCCTAAAACCTGCCTAAGAGATTATCCTTGTTTTACAGATGGGGAAATTGAAGCTTACTGAGGTTAAGAAACTTGCCTATGGTCTGGGTTTTAATATTTTTCTTTGAATGGTAGCATTTTACTTTCTGGTAATTCTGATATTTATTTTTAAGTTATACTTGACATAATGTAGGATAATGCCCAAAATTTTAGAAAATACAGAAAAGTGAACAAAAATATCATTTGTAATGTTGAGAACCAC